GAGCGGCCCTGGCCCCACCCAGGTTCCTGCAGGGCAGCACCCAGAGGGCACCTGGCTCGAATTTCCAGCCCTGCCCAGGGAAGTCCCAGAGCGCACGCGCGCGCGCACACACACACACACATACACACACATGCACGCATGTACACACACACACACGCATGCACGCACACCACCGCACCCCCTGGAGCAGGCTGAGTCATCTGGGTGTGGAGCCTGCTGGGTCACATTCTTGCAACATAGCGAGAGCAGAGCACAGAGGAGACAGAGCCAGGGTTTTGTAACGCTTTCTGCAGGCCAGCTCACAGCTGTGCGTGGCTGGGAGGAGTGATCCCAAGCACACCCGCAGTGCCCAGGGCGCCAAATCAGGCATGGGTCAGACCCCATGGGGTCTGAGGGCTCCAGCAGGCAACATCGGGAGGGTGAAGCCTGATGAATGAGAAAAGCTAGTGCTAGGGGAAAGTGACCCGGAAGGGACCTCTCTCTGCAAGGCTCTTTTGGGCCCCTGCTCCCCTGCACTGTCCCCAGGACTGGCCTTGAACTCCTGGCTGGACAACATTTAGCAAAGCTGAAGGCAGCAGGCACAGCCCCGAGTGCCCAGGCAGAGAGGTGCATTTCACATCCAGAGCTGTTTTGAACACAGTATCAGTTTGGACCTCTGAAACCGGAAGACGAAAGCCCTGTTCTTGGAGATAACTCAGGTAGAGGCAGGGCAGCCAGCCTCGGTGGGGACCACAAGTCCCAGATGCCAAAGTTGTGTCCCTGGCAGCTCGGTGCTGCTTCTGTCAGGCAGGGATCTGAGGACCGACCCAGGCCCTGAGACCAAGCTGAATGCTGTAAAATCTCCCCTAGACCAGACAGAGGAGAAGCCAACCCCCGCACCCTGGCATGATGACTGCACCCTGACACCACCTCCCCTCCTGGACGCCCCGGGCCCAGCATTTAATTGGCAATGAGACACTTGTTTTCACCCCTAGAGCAAAGTATGGCAAAGCAGATGGCCTCTGCCCTCTACCCTGTGGTCATTTTTCTCCTGCTTCCTGAGCTTGGCTGGGAGAGGAGGGAAAGCCAGAGGAGCCAGGAGGATAGCAAGAGGAGCTCCTCTACCTGGTCCCAGTCCATATCCAGGCCTGTGGCGTGGGACAGGGCATGAGTGGCTGGCCGTGTCCCCTCAAGCACAGGTGTCTAGCACCTGCCCTCCCATGTGGTCTCGGATGTGTGCTCCCAACACCGAGGGGAGCTGGGTGTGCAATGCAGATTCACCTTTGCCTCCGGAAAAGCAGGTCGGTCAGAAGTCTGCTTTCTGGAAGTTGGGCAGGGCCCCGGGAAGCCAGGCTCCCTTGCGTATTGTGGGCACCGGGTGGGGGGGTCTCAGTGTGCTGGACACTGTAGCTATGCCCTCCTGCTGTACCCGTTTCCCTCTCCTGGGTGCTGGCCTTGTGTATTTGATAAGGGCGGCTGGACCCAGCAGGTGTGGGATTTGAATCCAGGTTGCTATGTACACAAGCCGGTGTGCTGCCCACAGGACCAGGAGACCATGCCCGCCTTTTCTGCTGTCTGATGTTCAGGCCATTTGGTCATCTCTGGCCACCAAAACACTTCTCAAATTTTCCATGTTTTCTTTGAAGATTTCCAGGAGTGATTGTCAGGTCACTGTGATTTGACTTTCATCTTTTCAATAGATTTGATTTGAAAGCTGGGGGTGATGTTGCATACCTGTAAGCCCAGCATTCGGGAGGCTGAGGCAGGAGGATCACTGAGAGTTGGAGGCCAGCCTGGGTTACATAGTGAGTTCTAGGCCAATCTGGACTACATAGGGAGATGCTGTCTCTAAAGGGGAGGGGCCTTAAATAGATTTATTTGAATTGATTTATTTATTTGAGACTGGGTCTCGCTATGAGTTCAGGCTAGCCTTGAACTCATAACCATCCTCCTGTGGGCACTGGAGCAGGTGACTCTCACATCCAGCCCTGTAGCTGGTGAGAGGGGAAGGGGAGTTTTCCAGAGAAAATTGGGGCCAGCCAGTCCCAGGCTCCTCAGGAAGAGTGAAGGAAGTGGCCCTGGGACGCCCACCACCAAGGAGCCCCGTCACAGTGACCCTGCATGGTCACAGCCCCCACTCGCCACCCTTCTCATCGCCTGTGTCCCTGTCGCCTTAGAGTGACTGTGACTCACAATAAGAAATAGAGCACATTACCTTCACACTGCAGCCCTGAGCCGATCACGAGGTGCGGCTGCCAGCTTCATGTTCTGACTTTGTCGTTTCCCTGTGGTGTGAGTTTGGCCGTATTTTGTATCGGCCCCGAGTTTCCAGCTCCTCGTCTATGGAGTCGGGATAATGACAGAGTCCTGTTTTCATTGCCAGGATGGGAGAGCAGCAAAGAAGGTGGGGACGAGTGTCGTGAAGCTGGAACCACAGAGGATTCTGAGCGTCTTTCCCTCATTCTTCTGCAGCCCCTCTCCCAACTCCCTCTTTGGGTTTGACAGCCATGAGGTCACGTGGGCTGGCTGTTCTCTCCCAGAGTCCTGGCTCTGACAGGCACCCCATCCTGAGAGTCCCACACCACAACATCCTGCCCACCCCTTGCCTCCCATCAGCCCCTTCTCACTGCCTTGGGGCGGTGCCCAAGGTCCCTGACTCACCCCGGCCTCCCGGAGCCTCTCCCACCCCCTCGGCCTCTCAGATTGGACTTCCTAGATCTAGACCGTGCACCCTTTCTTGATGGTGACCACCGTAGGAAATACACTGCACTTCCTTTACCCTCAGTCCACACGAATAAGACTCACGGGGCAGCAACGTACTCTGACATTTCTAAATTCATGATCTACTGAATGAACTTTGCAATCCAAGGACGAGTCACCTCCCACAGTGGGCAAACATCACTCCCAAGCATGGCTCTGATCCACTCACTACTCCAGCGAGAACTTTCAGTTGCCCCTGTTATCTAGGGGCTTTAGCACAAGTTGCCTGTGCTTTTGTTAAAGTCCTTGTACAGAGTGACTCCAATTTGTCTCTATGTCAATACCATTTGTTCTCTCTGGGGTTGGGCAATTTAATAGACAGCACTGAATGGGAATGAGGGCTAGACCAGATGGCCCAATTGGTTTCCTCTCCCTCTGAGAGTTATAACCTTGGGATTATAAATGTTCAGAATCCCACTCCCAAACATAGCTCCTCCCTGGTCCCTGCATTCTCATGTCTCTTTGTTCACATTCCCTTCAATTACCTCTCCTGGCTTTTTTCTGTTGAAATCCCATCACCATCCCACAAGAGCAAAGACGCAGGAGGAAAAGTTAGAACTCATGAAGGGAGGAGAGTTGGTCTGCCGGGGCTGACAAGTTACCTGTAGATGATAAGAAAGAGGCGCAGCTGAGAGGTCAGGATCCGCATGCTGTCTCTTTCTTCTTAATAGAAGTCATGGAGTAGAGGGGGTCAGTGATGGCTGCTGAGCAGGTATCACATGCTCAAAGGTGAGGTTTAAGGAGACTGATTTACCCAGAGCTGGAGACAGTGGATGTTTTCTCAGTAGTAAAACTGACAGTTCCCAGATCTAGTCAGCAGCAGGCTGCCACCACCAGCCATAGCTCCCTTTCCTACCAGCCTCAGGACCCCAAAGGGAAACCACCAATACTCTTCACTGTGTTGCTAAGCTAGGGGTGCTACAGAGTAGGTGCATTAAATGTGTTTTCAATTTAGGATATTTTCAACTTACAATGGGTTTAATCAGGAGTTAGCTCCATTGTAAGCCAAGGAGTGTTTGTAAGCCATACATGTTTTGTTCCCTCTCACACACCAAGGCACCAGGGGCCTTGAGAACGGGGTCTTAGTCACATTCCCATTGCTGGGACAAAATACCCAACTCCCACAACTTAAAGGAAGAGAGGTTTATTTGGCTCAGTTTTCAGAGGGTACAGTCCATGGTCTGCTGGCTCCAAGGTGTGACGGACCAGCCGTCACCAGTCGAAAGGTTCCTGAATGGGGGAAAGGAGGACTGAGAAAATAAGACAAAGAGACAGAGTCGGGAGGGCTCCCAAGACCAAGCAAGCAAGTTTATTTACACCTCTCTTATACACTCAGTGAGTTAGGTCATTAATCATTACCTTTATACAAAAAACACCTGCTTCCTTGTTTACTAGTTTTTTGAACATTCCCCGCCCTCAAGGGCTATTTTGTTTCTTGAGGTTACAGAACATTTATCTTGTTTCTAAGGCAACCTCTGAAGGTAAGCATCGGAGTTGGCAAGGACACGGTTCCCCATAACATAATCTCCTATTTACAACGGAGGGTAAACTTAAAATGGAGCTTCTTTGGCTGACACCGCTCCCCACACCAAGGCAGAAACAGCCTAGTGGAAGGGCCTGGTGGAGGAAATGTGCTCACCTCATGGCAGCCAGGATGCAGAGAGAGAGAAGGGAAGAGCCAGGGACAAGAATACACTACAAGGTCAGGCCTTACCTCCTGACAGCGAGCTCAGCCATGAACTAACTCACCCATGGATGAGTCCCCTGATGAGCATGGTACCTCTGATCCAATCACCTCCCACACACAGACTTTTGGGGAACATTTTAGATCTGAACCTCAGCAAGGCTAATAGTGAGGGCCAGGTGGGTGGACCACTCATGTAGTGATGGTATTTGTGTCAGGTCCTCTGGGAGAGCCTGCACCCCTGACAGGACTGGGAGAAGCTGGCTGTGGCCCCAACACTCCCCTGGGAGTGAAGAAGGGATGCTTGAGCACCAGAAAAAGGTCCTAGTTATTCAGTGAGCAGTGACCCGCTGCTAATGGGGAAAAGAGAGAAGGGAGCCAATTCCACCTTTGAGCTTCGTAGGAGGTTTCTTAAAATGTTCAAATAGCAAAACATGATTTACAAAATCATGGAATATTTTAGTGTTTGTCCTTTATTGTTTTTTGTTTTTTGGTACCAGGGATCAAACTTGGGACGTTGCACTTGCAAAGCAGGTGGTAGAACCACTGAGCTAAATCCCCAGCCCTAATGTTTGTCATTTAAATTAAAATTGCAAGATGAATATTCTCTTCTTTCCCTCCTGTAAGCTCAACTTTGTGTGTGAATTCACAGCCCCATTTGAAGGTAGCACAGAAGTCCAGATTTAAAGCCATTTCTGGTTTGTTTGTTTTTGGCTTTTTTTTTTTTTTTTTTTTGGTATGGGGGATCAAACTCAGGACCTTGCACTTGCGCAGCAGGCAGTGAAACCACTGAGCTAAATCCCCGGCCCTGTTTTTGGTGTTTTTGAGACCAAGTCTCGATGTGTAGTCCAAGCTGCTCTTGAACTCATTAGGGAGCCCAGGGTTCCCTCAAACTTCTGGCAATCTTCCTGCCTCAGCCTCCTGAATGCTGGGATTATAGGTGTGCACCACCAGGGCTTGATTTCTATGCATGGCTTCTCCACTTACTCTAATGTCGGGAGCTTCCAAATGCAGGAGCAGGCTCACCCAGAGCCACAGGGGAAGTCGCCGGGAGACTTTCGGCCAGATTCGTGATAAACACCTCAAAGGCCAGAGTGGGGAGTAAGAGGGGCCCTTGTGTCCAAACAGGAAGCACATGATCCCTGATCCACTGTGATAATTTGAGGAACTGTAAGCACTCATTTCTTAAAAATAACAGCCAGAGATCTAACCAAAAATATCACATGCCAGGTGTGATAGCGTGTGCCTGTAATTCCAGCTACTGAGGAGGCTGAGGCAGGAGAATTGAAAGTCAAGGCCAGCCTGAGCAACTCTGCAAGACCATGTCTGGAAATAAATAAAACCAGAAAGGCTGGAGATATAGCTCAGTGGAAGAGCACTTGCCTGGCATACACAAGGCCCAGGGTTCAATCCCCAGGACCACAAAACCAGCAGACAAAACACTAGCACATCTACTCCACAAGATTTCAGCTTTAGGGAGCACTGGTCAAAGGGTCCACTTTGGAGAGTAGGATCTCATCTCTTCTGGAAGGAAACCCGAGCCCTATGACCCCTTCTGTGCCCTTGTGTGGTTGAAATGTCAAGGGTGGCACAGGTAGAAACCTGGCTGAGGCACTCAGCCACCTAGAAAGTGCTGATGCGTAAGGACACCTGCCCTTCAGAAAAAGCAGATAAGCAAAGGGGAATGAGCAGGAGGATAACAGAATCAATGATACTGCAGAAAATACTTCTTTCCCTCCTTTCCTCTCTTCCTTCCTTCCTCTTTGTTTTTTTCCCGGTACCGGGGATCGAACTCAGGTCCTTGTGCTAGTGAAGCAGGTGGCGGAACCACTGAGCTAAATCCCCGACCCTCTCTTTTTGATTTTTGAGGCAGTATCTCACTATGTCACTCAGGCCAGGTTTGAACTGGCAATCCTCCTGCCTCAGCCTCTTGAGTGCTAGGATTAGAGGCTTGCTCTACCATGCCTGGCCTAAAATATATTTTTCATATCACCTTCATCTTAATTATAAAGAGGCACTAATGCATAGCTGCTACTATTGCGCATGTGTGTTTCGTTTGTTTTTTGACAAACAGCTCTGTAATTATGGTTCCCCACTGGCTTACAGCAAAATAAAAAACATTAAAGATTTTTCTTTTTAAATCCTAAGGGGAAAAAATACACAAGTGGAAGGACTATCCCCCCCCTCCGCAACCCAACCATATTTCTATCTGTAAACATATTTATCTTAGGTAGCTTCTGCCCACCAGAGAAATGCTATAAAAGAGAGCTGGCTGCTTCGTGTTTATCTTGGGTGTTATCTCATAAAACAAGAGGAAAGTGTACAGGAAGCACCACGTCAGTTGCTGAGTTGTAGGAGCCCCAGCCACGTGACTCCAATGAGGCTTCTGGAAGGAAGTGACCGTCGAGTGCCTTCCTTTCATTGCCTGTGAGAGTGAAGGCTCTGGAGCCGTGCTGGGTGACTTCCACTTCCTTCCCGCCTGCCCACACTTCACACCTTCCCATCGCCAGTTAAGAGCCGCCTCTCCAACCCCACTGTGGAGAGCCCAGGGCCCTCTGACTCCTTCTTCACATCTGAATTTTTAAAAAGGCATCGCCGGCCACTTCTTGGCTTCATTCGGTGCCTGGGGTTTTGTAGGCACCGGGGATAAAGCAAAGCAGTGACTGAAAAAAGAGCCCAGACTCGATCTGAGAGTCACCCAGTAAAGGCCAAACTGCTCTCTGTGGCGAGGGCCCTCCTCACTCCTGAGTCTTCCCTTCGCCTCTTCAATCTCTTGCTTTCCCTTCCACTTGAGTCTTGTCCTGGGCGGTGCTCTGTTTCCCCCAGCTCTGGCTCCAGACGTCCCGTCCCGAGAGAACAGCTAGCTGTATCCTCAGCTTCTCTTCAGCCGCCAGACCATGGGGTTGGCGCCGCCCACGGTGCTCCTGCAGGTGGGCGACAGAGGCCTCTCCTGAGTGGTTGCACACTGTGGCCCTTCTGTCCTTCTCTCTGCCTTTCCTCCTTCTCTTCTTTCCTTCCTTCTTGCTCCTGACCTCTACCCAGGAGTGGGTGCCCCTGACCACCTCCACGGGAAGGAAGCCTTTGAGGGTCTCTACCCTCTCCCTTCCTCCCACCTAGGAGCCGTGGCCCCCACCTCCTCCGAGTGGGCTCTCCTGTCACCCCTCTCCCTGGCGCCGGCTGGAGTCTCTCCTCAGCTCCCAGCCTTTACTCTTGGTTGCCCGTGGACCCTGGGTCTGAGCTCTGCAGAACCAGCCCTGGTTCCCCTCTGTGTCCAGCCCACTCAGCAGCATCGCTTCCGGGCAGGCACCTCGCTGAAGCCTCCCAGTCATGAGATCACACACTTCCTCCCTTGCTCGGCACCCTGGATGCCACCCACTGGTCATCAGCCAGGTGGACGGAGGAGAGGAGCCCTCTCCGCACCCCTGGAGACTGCGCTGGCTGTGCTGAGAGCACCCCTGTTGCCTCGTCCTGTTTTCCTGGTCCTGTCTTGGGCCTCCAAAGCAAACCCTGCACACTGGGACAAAGCAGTGGGCAGCAAGGCTGCTCAGAGCCAGGCTATAGCCCTGGGCTCACCCGGATCTGTGACAGCACTGTGTCCACAGCATGCAGGCCTTCGGTGCCGGTTTCAAGCTCGATCTGCCCCTCCTCAGGGTGCAGCCCTCACCAGTTGCTGAGTCTGTGTTTCCCTGAAGCAGCTCGAGGAGCCTGAGCCAGCCCTACCCTCAGAGTCCACAGTGAAGGGAATCCCTAGATCGGCTCTGGGCAGGAAATAGCCCCGTGCCAAGGCCTCTTCACACGGCACCGGGTGCCCTCGCCCCCGCCCCATGTCCTTGGCCAGGGCAGCTGCAGAGGCCCTGCCTTTCGGACTCCCAGGAGGAATAAACTGTCCCCTGCCCCGTTCTCCCATCGTGTGTGTCACAGTCCTCTACCTACCTGGCAGTGACCCCTCGGGCTGGACCGTGCTGTTTGTCCGTGGGTGTCTTTCTACCTCTGTGTCCTCTCCTTCCGCCAGGGCCCTGTGGACCAGTGGTCAAGATCAGACATGTGACACGGGGAATGAGCGGATGGATGAGTGGATGGATGGATGGCTTGGCAGAGCTGGGGAGGCATAATGGTCACACTTGAAACTATCCTCGACTCTCCCTGCAGATTCCAGTTTGCTTTCTGGATTTCTGTACCCGGAGCAGTTAAGCTCTTCCCTCATCCCCTACCATTATATGCTAACCTATCGCTGGGGATCGGTTCTCCAGCTCCAGCTCTCTTTGCTCCCAGGAAGAGCTTTTTATTAACTGCAACGTTATAACGCTCATTCTTATCTCCATAAACTTAAATTGCACTTTTCAAGGCCAAATCTCCATGACCTAATTTCCTTCCCTGCGTCGACTGGACTGGAGGGACAGAAGCTCCCACCTCGCAGACACCACGGCTACTAACGATAGCGGGCATGTGGGGGCTGGAACTTAGACCTCGGAGTAGGGAGCACCCCGCCCCCCGCCCGTGTGTGACTCAGACGCCCCTTTTCATCAGTGGCCTTCCGCGGCTCGTGGAACTTCCTGCCAGAGCTTGGGCTGCTCTGGAAGGTTCCCCACCTCGGTTCAGCGCTCACAACATTGCTGCAAACAGTGCTCCCTGCTTCTCTGCACAAACCAGCTCCCCGCAGCCAGCGACCCAGCGCTGTGCTGTTTGCAGTCGGTTGTCGCAGGCTGGAGGAAGCATTGCAAATATGCACAGCCGCTGCCAACGCTGCCAGCGGGGAGCCAGTCGGTCCTGTCGGCCCCACCCTGCCCCACAGCCAAGTTGAATTTTGCATTTCTGCGATACTTATCAGAGGCAGGTGCGGTGCCTCCTCCCTCGGCTTTCTGCTGGGTGCAGAGGGCAGCGGATTGGGCGTGATGGCTCAGCCTTGCGGTGGGGGGAGAGGTAGCGGCCTGAGCTCACAGAGGAGCAGGAGGTGACCTGGGCGAGCCCGAGCTGACAGGCGGGACAGGCAGCTGGCACGGAAGGGCACTGAGACACCATCTTCCCGGAACGCTTCCTCCCGCGTCGGGGTGGGCAGTGTGGGCTTCATGCGGAACCCTGGGACACCAGGCAAACAGCGGTAGCCTTGGTGGCAGCACCAGGAACCGCTTCACCAGGGATCAGACCGCAGCGCACACACAGGACATGTCCCTCCGCAGGTGACCCGGGATCCGACAGGCCCAGTGAGCGCCTGTGTTTTGTATTCATTAGAACTGTTCGGTAGCCAGTGACAGAAACCAGCTGCAACAAGTCTAAGCAGAAAGAGACGTTTAAAAAAAAAATAGGGAAGCTGAGCATGGTGCACACCTGCGATCCCAGCACTCGGGAGGCTGAGGCAGGAGGATGCCAGCAAGTTCAAGGCCAGCCTGGCCTATATAGAAAGTCCCTGTCTCAATAATAATAATAATAATAATAATAATAATAATAATAATAATAATAATAATAAGGGAGTGTCAGGAGTGATAGCAAAATCCCAGTCCAGTAGGGAGGGCAGGCTCAGGAATTTAAACACTTTGGGATGTGCTACTGAAGACTGAATTCATCTTTGGAGAACAGTTTTCTCCTCTCTTTGTGTCTCTTTTGGGGGGCAGAAGGTGAGAACTGGGTCTCACTACATAGTTCAGGCTGGCCTTGAACTCACAGCAATCCTCCTGCCTCAGCCTCCCGAGTGCTGGAGTTACAGGCATGCTGAAGCCCAGGTTGGGCCCGAGGGACAGGTCAGGCAGGGCGGTGGCCCAGCCCAGGTGGGGCTGGAGCGGGACCCCCTCCTAAGCAGGCCATGGGTCCCCTGGGCCCCGCAGGGCTCCTGTTGCAGCCAGGGCAGGAAGACCTGGTTACCAAGCTTAGGGACACGGCTGCCACCGAGCCCGTGTGTCCAGGGACCGGGTTGTGATGAGCGGGAAGGGCTGGCTGCAGAGTGGGGGCGCCATAGCTGTCTCAGGCCTGCACCAGCCACCGGGAAGGAGGGACCAGGCTGGACGGCAGACACCAAAGACCTGTCCTAGGCACAAATTGTGTCCCCGTGACGACACCCAGCCGCTGCTCTGGGGCTAAGTCCCCCCAGCAACTGTGCCCTGCTCCTGATGCAGAAGCCGGCTGCTTCCCTCAGAACTGTCCCAGCGTGCGATGCCGCTCTGGTCACTGGAAGCACTGACACTGCAGAGACGCAGACAGCAATGAAGGCCAAGCGTGTCGTGGGTCCCCGGGGCCCCAGGTGAGTTCTGCAAAGATCGCTGTGTTTCCTGTTAGGACTTCATGTCACTGTGTCCCTCTTTATTTTTCATAGAGTGTCAGCTCTCCCTACCTAGGCCCACTGGGGCAAGTTTCTGGGAATGTCACTTCTCTTTTCTGGCTCATTCCCTCTTTTTTTTTTTTTGGTAGCAGGGATCGAACTCGGAGCATTGTGTTTTCAAGGCAGGCACTGGAACCACTGAGCTAAATCCCCAGCCCACTCCCTCTTTATAGATCCATAATTTCCCTATACTCTCTGGCCTTTCTTGGAAATTCTATTTATCTGTTAAAATAGTGACTCTAGAGGTGGGCATGGTGGCACATGCCTATGATCCTATCCTGGGGAGACTGAGGCAGGAGGGTTGTACTGAGTTCAAAGCCAGCCTGAGCTACATATTCGGATCCTGTTTCAAAAACAAAACAAGGGCCAGGGATTTCACTCAGTGGTTTTGCCACCTGCTATGCAAGTGCAAGGACCCGAGTTTGATCCTGAGTACCAAAAAATAAAAAAACATAGTGACTCTAAATTTTTTTCCTTCTTTTCTTTTTTTAAAATTAATACACGCTTGGGATATGTAATGAATACAGTCATCGCAGGGAGCTGGTACACACACATAACACACCTTAGTCCTCTTCGCTTCCCCTTTCTCCCTCTCCTGTTTCTCCATCCCTAGATCCTGTTCCCATCTCCAAAAAGGTCTACCTCCCTGTTTCCTGTCATCTACCTTTTATTTTGGTCTTTAAACTATTTGTACTTTGGGTTTCTCATATAAGAGAAACCATGAAATATTTAAGCTACAAGTGTCTGATTTTCTTCACTTAACATTATGGTCTTGAGGTGCAGCCATTTCCTATGAAAGCCTTGAGTTTATCCTTCTTTCTTCATGGCAGAGTAGTGCTCTATTGTGTGTAAATAGCACTTTTTTTATCCATGCATCTGCTGCTGGACATATAGGCCACTTCCAAGATTTAGTTTTTATAGATTGTGCTGCTCTGAACATAGGCATGGGGGTGTCCCTGTACATGGTGCCCTTAACCCTCCGGGTGGATACCTGGAGGAGGTATAGCTTCCTCCGCTTACTTTCTGTCTCCTTTTTTGCTTTCCCCTTTTGCTCTTATCTCCTTCTCCATTGCCTTCCTGGCCAGGGTCCTTCTTCTGTCCAGCTGAGCTGCGTTTCTCGGGGCCTTGCTTCTTTACTGAGACCTGAAATCTCCATGTCAGGCAAACCCACCCACCAGGGGCTTTCGGATCTCTCTGTGCATGGACGTTACCCTGTGGAACTTTTATTGCTCTTACAAGATTGCCTTTGATTTACCTTGGAAGCATGTATATGGGCTTGGGGTTGGGTGCAGCAAGCCGCTGGCTGTGTGTGTACAGATTATAAACTCCCACGCATGCCCTGACTCAGTGAGAGCCTTTTGTTAGCTTTGCCCAGCACGGGCCTGGCAAGGGGGCCCTCGGGGTGGGCAAGTGAAGCAGGGAAGACCACAGACCCCCGCATGCCTGCCCGCCCACCTGCAGGATCAGGTGAAAGGAAGCCAGCTGAGCAACCAGGCCCAGCTCTTTCTGTCCCTGAAAGGGCGAGGATTATGACAGAACAGTGGGCTGTGACTCAGCCCTGTCTCCGTGGAAACCTGCTTGGCCAGCTGTAGTGCTCATTAGCAGAGCCCAGCCCAGGAGGGGACCACACCCTGCCATGAGACCGCATGACTCAGAGCCTTAAGGTTTACAGCGCTTTCCTAGGAGACAAAGGGCATCCGTGGGCAGTCTCTGGGCGCCCACGGGGTAATCATTTACCCCAGCGCTCCTCTGGTGAATGGGGTGCCCCACTCCCCTTTACGTCTGAGTTTCAAGGCAGAGTCTCACTAAGTTAAGTTGCCCAGGCTGGGCTCAGACTTGCAATTCTCCTGCCTCAGCCTCCCAGAGTGCTGGGATCCCAGGTGTGTGCCACCATGCCCAGCTTCCCTATCTTCACATTAGTCAATAACCGGCTGTTTTAGCGGGTGCAGGAAGCCTGTTGGAAACAGACAGTACCTGCCATGCACCATAGTGTACCTGAGTACAAAGCCAGGGCTCTTGGTTCAGTGTTTTTCTAGACAGTTGTGGAAGTCAGGACTCAGATTCTGCTCTCAGCATGAAGGGCTTTGGAGAAGTACAGCCCTTCCCCTGCGTCTCAGCTGCTCCAATAAAAACCACAGGCCAGTGGCTCTTACAGAGTGAGATTCATTTCTCACGGTCTGGGGCCGTCAGATCTGGTGCTTGGCGAGGACCCACTTTCTGGCCCCTCGAGGTGGCTTCTCACTGTCTCCTTGAAAGGCGGAAAGGACAAAGCCATGTTGCAGGCCTGTCCCATTCCTGAGGGCTCTGTCCCCACTTCCTCATGGCCTCCCAGAGCCACAACCTCAGGGGCAGAGCTTCGCATGTGGACAGCAAAACCTCTGTGTCTAAAAAAAGCTAAAGGTGAAGCTGGGAGGAGAACACAACTGCTTTGCAGCTCCCTGGAGGAGGCCCTGAAGCACTGACAGCCGCTGCATGAGGGAATCCCTGAGATCCGGTCCAGGAGTCTAAAAAATCTAGTTGATGTTCTTAAGCCACTGCCAGGAACCTGACACCAGAGGGCATTGTGTTTTGTCCTGGCTTTGCTCTACTTGAATTCTCCACTTGTTATGTGTTTTATTTACTCCCTTAGCAGGTGCGGGGGACGCCAGGGTCCTGAGGGCTGAGCGGGTCCCCTCCCCTGAGCTGTGCTCCAGCCCCACGTCCCATTTCTCTGAAGACCATTGAGTAGTATCTGAGACCGCCCTCCCCTCCTGGATGCCTGAGGCCTCCACTGCGGCCCCTCTGGCCCCATTTGTCCCCTGATCGCTGGCCCTTCTGTCCTCTCCCCTCCGGGTCCCTTCAGCCTGCTGAATGGTGAACACTCCTGCCCCAAAGTTTGAGTCTCAGACCCAACATCCTCTCAACCCCATTCACGCAATGAGTCTGGTCCCTCCTGAAAATCTTTAATTTCTCATCCTTAAAATGGGAATAAAAATACACACAAGGCCCAAAACAAGTTCTTGATAAATATTATCTGTTGTTGTTATTATCCAAGCTTTAAAAAACCCATTTTACAGCCTGGCGTAGTGGTGAATGCCTGTAATCCCAGCACTTGGGAGGCTGAGGCAGGAGGATCACTGTGAGTTTGAGGCCAGCCTGGACTACATAGTGAGACCCTGTCTCAAAAACAAAAAACAAAAACCAAAAAGAATTAAGATGTGTTATGCTTATGTACCAACTCCCCACGATGAATATAATCATTACATACCGAAAACATTGCTAATAAAAATAAAAACAAAAAAACCCATCTTGGACATTCTTAACGATTTCACTCAGTTTTTACCCAGCCTAATGCGATCAAATAAATAAACGTCAACTGTCGAGCAAGCACAGCCACTTGTAACAACCTTTTGTACACCATGCTTTGTTCCATTCCTGCCTCTAACAAAGGGACTTTCAGTTTAAGGTTCCCTGTTTATTTTTCCTTCCAGATGGCTGTTTTATTTATTTATTTTTAAGGAAAAACATTTATTGGTACATTTTAGCTATAAGTAATGATCACGTTCATCACCTGGAATTTGTACCTGTACATGATGTATCTTGGTTCCCTTCAATCCCTCTCCCCCTCATCTACAAAAGCTTCCTATTTTTTCCCTCTATTCTCTTTTATCCTCTCCCCCCTCCCTTGTTCCCCTTCTCATTGGAACATTTTCTTCCCATTTTTCCCCTATCTTTATTTTGGTCCTTATTTCCACTTTTGGTTTCTCACATCAGGGAAACCATGCAATATTTAATCATGTGTGTCTGATTCATTTCACTTAGGAGTGTGGTCTCAAGGTGCATCCATTTACCTAGAAATATCTTAAGTCTATCCTTCTTTATGGCAGAGTAGTATTCCACTGTAGAAACAAAGCCCACATTTCCTTTATCCACTCCTCAGTTGATGGGCATGTGGGCTGTTTCCGTTTTAGCTATTACAAACTGTGCTGCTATAAACATGGGTGTGCATATATCACTGTGGTATGATGCTTTTTTTTTGGTACTGGGGATCGAACTCAGGTCCTTGGGCTTTCGCAGCAGGCAGTGAAACCACTGAGCTAAGTCCCCAGCCAGTACGATGCTTTTAATTCTTTTGGGAAGATACCCAGCAAAGGAATAGCTGGGTCGAATGGAACCTCTAGTTTTGGTTTTCTGAGGAATCTCCACACTGATTTCCACAGTGGTTGCACCAGTCTACACTCCCACCAGCAGTGGAGCAGGGTTCCTCTTTCCCCACAGCCCCGCCAGCATTTGTTATTGGTTGATTTCACGATAGCAGCCATTCTTTTTGGGGTGAGGTGGAATCTCAATGTTGTTTTCATCTGCGTCTCTCGAATGACCAGTGATGTTGAACATTGTTTCTTATGTTTATTTGCTTTTTTGGCCTCTTCATCTGAGAAGTGTCTACTCATTTCAGATGCCCATTTTTGGATTGGGTCTTTAAATTTGGGAAGGTCTGATTTTTTGTTTTTTTAATATATATTTTAAATGTTAGTTAAGGTTCCCCGTTTTAGAGGACTTTCCCCTCAATCTTTTCTTTTCTCCTTCTTTGAGACATGGTCTCCTATGCAGTCCAGGCTGCACTTGCCTGCCTCAGCCTCCCGAGTGCTGGGAATCCTGAGGAAACAGATTTCCTGGGAAGTAACTCATTAATTCATCCATTCATTCAACAAACATTTCCTGAGGACCTACTGTGGCCCTGAGCCACACCTGAGCGGATGCCGAGGTCGACAGGGAAGCAAACCCCGGAGAGCGAGGGTTCTCAGCGGTCAGAACCGGTGTTGGGTCAGTCAGAGGGTCAGACTGGGGTTAGGGTCGGAGTCAGGGTGAGTCAAGGTGAGGGTCAGGACCAGGGGTAGGTGAATCTGGAGGGCTGGCTGCAGACGGACAGGCCAGGAAGTCGGTTTTCTCAAAGGCAGGGGGGTCTCGGGAGGCCGAGGCAGGAGGATCTGAGTTCCAGACCGTGTGGAGTGGGGTCTCAGGCTCCGCCCGCCCTGCCGTGCCAGTCGGCGATGGGCGCGGTGCTGTGGACCCCAGGCACGTCCCTGGGCGTGGCCGGGCGGTGGCACCAGCCAGTCCCGCCCCGGGGAGGGCGCAGAGGCGCGTACTTGAGCGCAGCGCCGCCCACGCGCAGCACCTCAACGGAGCGGCGGCGAGCAGCGGCGAGCAGCAGGGTGAGCGGGGCCGGACCGGGCTGCGGCCCGAGGGCCCTGGGAGCCGGGACGGGGAGGGCGGCGCCGTCTGGGGTCGCCCTCTGCGGCCGCCGTGGCGCGGAGCCAGGCGCGTCGCCCTTCGCGTCGCTGCGCCCGCCCGGGCCCTTGGGACCCGGGGGAGCCAGTGGCGTCCACCGGCGCGGACCGCTCGGAAAGCGCTGCTGCTGTCCCCGGCGCGGGTCGCGAGTGACTCACCCAGTCGGGTGTGGCCGGGCTGGTGGCTCAGCTAGGACCGGGGCACCCGGAGTCGGGGACACGGGCCGAATACCTGTAAAGTGACTCCGGGACCTCGGGCCGCCTGGACTTGGGCTGGCGGCTTCTGGAATCCCGGGGAGGGAGGGGAGTCAGGCTCGGTTGAGAGGAAAACCTTAGGATGAAATGAACCCTCCGGGCACAGCCTAGGGAGAAAGAAAAAAGCATTCGCCAACGTTCAAGGGCTGCCTCGCCCAGCTTTGCAAACTTTCTGCATTAGCACTGTTAGCGTCTGTGATAAAGTTTAAAATAAACGTTACCTTTCTGAACAATAACCCCCGCCCCCTTTTTTCTCGGTGCTGAAAATGGAGCCCAGGGGCGTTCTACCACGGAGCTACACCCCTCGTCAATTTTTCTTTTTTCTTTCGAGACAGGGTCTCATGAAGTTACCCAGGCTGAGCTCCAACTGGTGATCCTCCTGCCTCAGCCTCCGGAGCTAGCTGGGATGGCTTTGGGCAGCCTTTTTCTTTTCTTTTTGGTACCAGGGATCGAACTCAGGTCTTTGTGCTTGCGCAGCAGGCAGCGAAACCACTGAGCTAAATCCCCAGCCCCTGGGCAGGCATTTTAAGACACTGACTTTGAACCCTTCCCAAGCAGAGTCTTTCACGCCAAGGCCGGCGATGGCCTCTGGAGGGTTGGAGCTGCGGGAAGGGTTGTCGCCCAGAACGTGTCGGCCCTGCCCCTGCACGGGGTCCTTAGCCAGCTCGCTGGGTCGGAGGTCGCGCAGGTGCATGCTGAAGACTCCGCTCTCACTGGTTGGCGAGGCTCTAGCTTTTCAGCGCAGCGGCTGCGGGGCCCACAAGAGGGCGGTGGGACTCGAGAGTCGCACGGTGACCTCGGGAATCTGAGGCCCTGAAACTCCGCACGGTGCGGCCTTTCCCTCCTTGATCATTTGGGGCCACAGCTACCCCCGGGTCGGCGGGTGGCTCCGCGCCTGCCTCCTGCTCCCAGCTCGCTGCCCGCCGCTGACTGCGCCCCAGCTTTTCCAAAGGGTAAAATGGGGACGGGGAAGCACTGGGTCGCTCGCCTTCCCTGGCTGCTGGGCGAGGAGGAAATCGGAGGCGTCTGTCCCAGGTCCCTCTGTGCACCACAGGGCCAGAAGGGAGCCCCCTCCCCCGCCTGGTTCCCGATGAGAATGTGGGGGCTCCCGGGCCCCCAGGAAATATCCAGAGGCCGAGCCCTTATGAGCAGGGATCTCCCAAGCTGCAATCCGGGGCGCCTTGCACCTGGGCTAATTGCTAGGTGAGAGGAGCACAGAGCTGCTCTTTACTGCAGGGAGGAACTGCTCTCTCCCACGGCTGCCGACTCCTGTAGCAATCCCTTACTCCACACTTGTAATCTCAGCTCTCCGGAGACCGAGGCAGGAGTTCGAGGCCAGCCTAAACTATATAGTGCAACCCTGTCTCAGAACAGAACAAACAAACACAAAAACAGAGGGAGATTTCATGATTGGCAATTGACCTACTCAAAATAGTCCATGCCTAATTTTTGAAAAAGTATACTGTATTGGATAAAATATGGTTACAATTAGGGAAGTGACATGCGAAATGGCATTCTGCCTGCCAAATGAGTCACCCAGTTCGTTTCTGGACAAAAACACGATCTTGGGTTTTTAAATTTGTTTACCATTTCACTGTGTTGTTGGGTTCCGGATAAGTGAGACTCAATTTCTCAGTGAAGTAAAGGACACTTGCCAACAGCTGTACGTGGAGTTTCTGGCTGAGATTATTCCCTGACTGCCCAACCTGATCAGCAAGGCCAGGGGTCAGGTGTTCAGTGTCAGCATGGACATTTCCCGGGGCTGCCCTGCCCACTGCCTGGACTCCCAGCTCCCAGCCCCGCACCGTCCTGCCCCTGATGTGGGGCCGGTGGCAATGTGTGAGAGCACTCCGGTTGTCACTGTCTGGTGGCTCATGCCTGTGATGGCTGCGAGTTTGTTTCTCCTGCCTCCAAGAGCTCTTCCAGGGTGCCATGCCCACCCTGCAGCGGCCACCTTGTGGGGAGGGCAAAGCGGAGGAGTCCCCACTTTTGCTGTCAAAGGTCAAGTACGATGGGAATGAGGCATGGTCAGCCGGGGAGGGCCTAGGACTCCTAGACTGCAGTGGTCTCCACCTTGGGGAAGGACATGGTCGCAGCCCAGGTTAAGAGAGGTGTGGGAGGGCCAGGGATTTAGCTCCATGGTGCCACCGCTTCCCTTGCAAGTGCAGGTCCCAAATTCAATCCCCAGTACCCCCACCAAAAAAAAAAAATGAGGTGTGGGAAAAATAAGATTAATTATTAAATGTCTGATGGTGATATAAATCACAGCGACGTGTTGTAAGAATAGCTGGTGTGCATAAAGAAAGCACACAGTAAGGCCTAGCAGGAGCTCACGGGAAAAATTAGTATTGTAAACTTTTAGTTGGGCGTGGTGGTGCACACCTGTAAACCCTGCACTTGGGAGGCTGACGTGGGAGGATTGCTTTGAGTACAAGGCCAGCTAGACTATATAGCAAGACCGTCTCAAAAACCAAAAATGTACATTCTTAGGAGCTATCAAGTAGTCACCATTCATTGGATCCCAGGGGCACAGTGTCATCTGGTCACATGATGGAGTAAATAGCACACCTCTTACCTCAGGGCTCGGGTGAGCAGAGTTGATCAGGCTGGGTGGCCTGGCTGACAGCGTCCCTGCCCCTGGGGAGGTGTTTCAAGGTCTTTCGCTGTGGACTCAGCCCAGTGCCTGGTGTTGAGCAGGAGTAGGGCGAGCTCTTCCGGAAGTTAGACTTGGAGGATTTGGTGAGAGCATCCAGGAGCAGATGATAACTCCTCTCTCTTTTTCCTCAGGAAGATGGCAGACAGCTTCTCGGTAAGTGTTTCCTTCTGCCTTCCCAGTCTTGTCCCCTCCCCATGGGGTGAGGGATTCACCTCAGCACTGCTTTCCCTTTTCACTTCCCCTCCCCGGGGCCTCCTCTGCCTCCCCCTCCTCCTGTGGGCTGCAGTTTTGTTTTGCCAGCAGATGTGGGAAGGAAGCCAGGCAGGACAGTGACCCTCTCACCCTGCTGTGAGCACAGTCAGTAACCGAAAGAAATTTGGAGCAGCTTAGAAAACTTGGGCCTGTGAGTGGAGAGCCAGCTGGGGCCAGGAGAAAATGAAAAATCCCGCAGGTGTAAGACCTCAAAGTCTAACTTTATTTCCTTTTTCATTTTTTGAAACAGAAGTCTTGCTATGTAGTTCAGGCTGGCCTTGAACTCACTATGTAGCCCAGGCTGGCCTCAAACTCGAGGTAATCTGCCTCCCTCAGCCTCCCCAGTGCTGGCATCACAGGTGTGCACCACCATGCCGGCTCTAGAGCCTAATTTTAGTCTTTGGAACTTGAAACTATTGTTAGGTGGCACAAAACCACAATGACAGAAATTTCACCCCTTCACCGTATTTCTCAGTTGCTACCTAGGTCAGGTGTGCCCGTTTTCCTGTCCTCTGCAACACAGATGTCTTCTAGCTGTAATTGCTGCCATCTTTCTTTCCAGCTCAACGATGCCTTATCCGGTCCTGGACACCAGAACCCTCAAGGATGGCCTGGGGCCGGGGGCTACCCAGGAGCTGGCTATCCTGGCGCCTACCCTGGCCAGGCTCCTCCTGGGGCTTACCCTGGACAGATGGCTCCTGGGGGCTACCCAGGCCAGGCAGCCCCTGGGGCTTATCCCGGGCAGGCACCTGGCGCCTACCCTGGGGCCACACCTGGAGCCTACCCCGGCCCTACTGCACCCAGCACCTACCCTGGGGCTGCACCTGGAGCCTACCCTGGCGCCAGCCCATACGGCGCCCCCTCGGGACCACTGGTAAGATGGGGCGGTGCTCCAGTGGACTGGGGTGCAGAGCGTGTCAGGGAGGCCTGGGTTCCAGCCCGGCTCCTAGATCCCTTCTCTGGGACTCACCACAGAGCCCAAGTTCGAACTGGGTTCGAACCGGAGCCGGCTGGGTTTACCATTAGTGTAAGGAGCTGTGGCATCTGCTCGAGGCCTCAGGAAAGCCGCTCTAGTGCATGTCAAGGTGAGAGCGCAGTCACGGGGCTGGTGTTAGATTAATGCACATGGAGCACGCCCCCCAGCCCAGCCAGTGGAGGCATCTCCCTTCCTTAACGGAGCCCCGACACCACCGAGATCCCTCCCGTTTCACACACCACGACACTGGTGGTGGGAAATGACGTTGCTCACCCAGGGTCATCCAGGGAGCCGAGGAACCTAGGTAGTCTGGCTTTGAAACCCATCTGAAGATAATCTTGTGACCTGAGGATTTAATTTGCGTGCAAATTAAAATGCTTATCAGTAAAGGAACCTTGAGTGAAACCCGATTCGAGGGGATCCCCAAGGGTCTGGTGCATGTGAAGATGGAACCGAGCAGCAGCGTGGGGCTTGGGGGGTCAGGGCTCCCCAGGGGAGGCGGCCAGAAGGCTGTGGACGAGAGGCTGATGTGCCAGATGCCAGAGGGCGCTGATTAGGCCTAGGGGTCTGGAGGAGCCCTGCTCTCCAGGCTGGACAAGTAGAGCATGGGTGTGCCGAGACCAGACCGGAAGTCAGAGGAGGCAGGTGCTTCCGCTGGGCAGCCTGGCACACCTGGCCCGCGGGCCTGGCAGTGGGCTGTGCCAACCAGAAGTGCTCGGCGCGGGGCCTGAGTGTGCGGCATGGCACGCAGTCCGCTGACACCCAGGAGCCCCAGAAGGCAGTGGCAGCGCTGCCCTCGGGGGGTAGGGTCACCCCAGCGCAGCTCGGCGTGGCAGGTGCCTGGAGCAGGGAGCAGAAAGGCCAGCGCCCATCACAAGGCCGAGCTGATGCCCCTGTACAGCCCCGTGGGAGTGGATGAGTTAGGGTCATTTTCTCCCTTTGGTCCTTTGTTCTTCACACGGTTTGTGCACGCGAGAGCCTTCTCTCTCCAGGCCCTGGCCAAGGTGCCCTAAGTGGGAGCTGCATCCCGTCCATCCACGTTTACTAACCATTAGCAGCTCGTTTTTCTTTGCTCGGCACGCTGGCTCTGGCTGATGCTGCGCCCTTGTTCCCTTCCAGGCCGTGCCCTATGACCTGCTCCTGCCCAGCGGGCTGGTGCCGCGCATGCTCATAACGATTGTGGGCACCGTGAAGCCCAACGCCAACAGGTAAAGTGGGCCCCGGGAGTGGCCCTGCACGCTTGTCCATAGGCTGCTGTACAGGGGACGATTTATTTTGCATTTTAATAGAATTTTAAAACTACACATGTCGAATCTTGGCTCCACCATCCTATGGGACCAGTCAGTCGTACAGGCTCCTACATAATTTTTGAAGCGTCAGAAGTGTCACTCAGCAGTAAATGGGGACGTACCTGTATTCTGTATTTTGCTGTGCACTTTGTCATCTCATTTTTGCGGCGGAGGCAGGCAGGAAATGCTATCAGAGGGTGGGCCGGGGAGGCAGTCTTCTGGGTTGGCGCTCCCTAGGAGCTCCCTACTTGGGGTTTGAAGGTCCCGGGCCAGGGTGCGGTGCAAGCCCAGGAAGCCACTGGTGAGTCCGGGTCTCCTGTCCCACGCTGTGCGCGTGAGGTTCCGGTTCCAGGCATGCACACAGCTCCTCTGAGTCTCAGGAACCCGTGAGGACCGGTCACATAGCCCCATGAGTCAGCAGGAGCCACTTCCTGTCACCAGCGAGGTGGCTTCTGATCTGACACTGCGCAGCCCACTCACCCCGGCCCCGGCCCTCCTGGCAGTTACCACCCAGACATTAGCCGCTTGTGCAAACACGCATGTGACACTGGATTCCCCTCTGCCTGCGGCCCTTGCCATGTGTCCCCCAGTGTAACAACTGCACCAAGACCTGTTGATAGCCCTCCTCCTCCTGCGACCCCAGCACAGAGACATGCAGAATCCTCGCCAGTTAGGGTCGCTGCACTGGACACTCAGTGCCAGCAACACTGGAGATGTGGTCCCAGCCCGTGGCAGATCACGAGTTCTGGCTGAAATGGGTGATGGAAGTACACTGAAGAAATGGTTGCTTGGCACTGCAAGTTTTTTTTTTAGACAGAATCTCACAGTGTAGCCTAAGCTGGCCTCGAACTTGAGGTAAGCTGCCTGCCTCAGCCTCCTGAGTGCTGGGATCATAGGCGTTCGATACACTTCTCTTACATATGATACATTGGGCCCAGTCTACTTTCCAGTTTGAGCCCGTTCTCTAACTTACTCGCTATCCACCCAGAACATGCTCCTGTGCGCTGTGATGGGCTTAGCTCTCCCAAGCCTGTGCCCCTCAATCATTTGCATACTTGGTCTTTGGTTCACCACAGACTGGCCCTGGACTTCAAGCGGGGGAACGATGTGGCTTTCCACTTCAACCCACGCTTCAACGAGAACAACAGGCGGGTCATCGTGTGCAACACCAAGCAGAGCAACGCCTGGGGGCGGGAGGAGCGCCTTCAGACTTTCCCCTTCGAGATGGGCAAACAGTTCAAAGTAAGTCAGAGCCACTCCTATGTGGTGGTTATGTCTGTTTCTCACAGGGAATCGCTCGAAATCCTGAACACTTGGAGCATTTTGTTTTGTAGACAGGGTCTCCCTGTGTAGTCCAGATTGGCCTTGAACTTGCTATGTAGCCCAGGCTGGCCTTCAGTTTGTGGCGATCCTCTTACCTCAGCCTCCTGAGTGCTGGAAATATAGGTGTGTGGCACCATGCCAGGCTGAAATGAATTTTTTTTTTTTGGTACCAGGGATTGAACTTAGGAATTGCGCTTGTGCAGCAGGTGGTGAAACCACTGAGCTAAATCCCCACCCCAGCCCTTTTTTGTTTTTGAGAGAGGATCTCACTTAAGTTGCCCAGGTTGGACTTGAACTTGGGATCCTCTTGCTTCAGCCTCTACAGTGCGGGGCTTACAACCATCATGCCCAGCTCCCTTTTAAACTGACAGAAGTTCTATAGCTGTGTCATGTGCAACATGGCGCTTTGCACTGTGGACACTGTGCAGTGGCTGCCAGCAATAGCAAGGGGCACTGCCTCATGGGATGGTTGTGTTTGTGCTTTGCAGATCCAAGTGCTGATGGAACCCGACCACTTCAAGGTGGCGGTCAATGACGCCCATCTCATGCAGTACAATCACCGGGTGAGAAACTTCACGGAAATCAACAGACTGGGGATTTCTGGTGACATAACCCTCATCAGCGCGACATACACTATGATATAATCCGGAATGGCAGATGCTTGGATCGAGGCCAGACCTTACCCACGCAAAGGCTTCAGGTTCACTGGGAGTGGAAAGTTTTACATTTATGCGCAATTTTCTTCCCTGAGTCCCTCATTTAATAAACATTATTACTGAGCTATTCCCTGAGTTACTTTCTTCTGTCACTTCATTGGGGCAGTTTACTCTCCCGAATGTCCAGGGGAAAAAGAAATGTGTAGCGATTTGAATGTCCAGTCGGGCTGCCCGAAGTGCCCTGCACTTGCTAGCTCACTCAGGAAGAAGGCAGCAGGACAGTGTCACCTATGTCTGTAATCCTGGGACTCTGAGGCAGGAGGATCACAAGTTTGAGCCCAACCTGGGCAACTTAGACTCGGTCTCAAAAAATGGGCTAAAGATGCAGCTTAATGGAAAGGCCCTGGGTTCAATCCCCAGTACCACCAAAAATAAAATAAATATATACTACCCCCAAATTCTCAAATTCTCCTTGCAGCTAGGAGGTGCTGCAAGGAAACCTCCCGCTGATTTTCTTGAGGAGAAAGTTTACCCATGAACAATTCCCATCAGCATCCTGGTTGCTCAGCAACAGGGAAAGCTTCTGAGAAAGGCAATACTGTGGTTTTATTGTAGGAACATGGAACACCAGTCCGGAGCAGGCCTAGATGGTATGGGCCAATGGCTGGGCCTCCTGATGCAACCAGAACACTCAGTAACAGCAGGCGGATGAGCCTGCTGCTGCTGCTAACCACATATTAAGCTTTTTTGTTGTTTTGTTTTTTGAGAGAAGGTCTCGCTGTGTAGCCCAGGCTGGCCTCAAACTCAGTGATCCTCCTGCCTCAGCCTCCTGAATGCTGGGAAAATGGTCACTTTTGAAAATACAAGTTACTTAGGGGGCTGGGAATTTAGCTCAGTGGTTTTGCTGCCTGCTGCGCAAGCGCAATGACCTGAGTTCGATCCCTGGTACCAAATAAATAAATAATTAAAATACAGGTTACTGAAACATTATATAAAATACTGTTTGCACACAGAACTGCCAACTGGGAAGTCTTAAGTAAAACAAGAGGCTCTTGTTCTGTTCTTTCATTCTGTGCCTGAAGATTTCCCTAATGCATCACTCTAGAGCCTGAAGCCCAAGGACACACCCATGGGGGACCCAGATGTTTGCCTCGCCGGCACCCGCTCCATTTCCTGCCAGCCCCGCTCTCCTCGGGTAGCACCCTGGCTTCAGAGAGAATCCTGACTAGGGCCAGGCTGATGCCCGCCCGGCATTGGCAGCCACTATGATCGCAAGGACCCAGCCTCCGAGAGGAGTCAGCACCAAGGACTGTGAGCCGATGATGAAAAAGCTCGGCGTCATTCTGGTAACTCGTGAAATAACGCGTTTCCTTAGTCCTAGGCCTGTCTGAGTCCGTTACGCGTTTGAATAGCTCAAACAAGCTAGTCGGCAAAGAATATGTGCTTGTAACGGTTCGGGATTTCAAGGGCTCAGGATCGTGAACAGCCTAAGTAGCTGTGAGCTGGGGCTGTGGCCACGCCTGTAGTCCCCACCACTGGGGAGAGGCTGAGACAGGACCGTTACAAATTTGAGGCCAGCCGGGGCAACTTCGTGAGACCCAGTGTGGAAATAAAAGTCAAGAGGGCCGGGGGTGCCGCTCAGGCTCCCGGCCCAGCCCTCAGAGGTGCGTAAGGTGTCGGTGTTTTCTCGTTTGGAATTCCCTCAATTAAAGGTCACCAGAATTTAGCAGCGTGAGCGCCTGACCTTCAGCCCTACGCATGCACTCACACGGCCGGCTTCGGGGTAGCCAGGCGTCCTCCAGGTGCTCCGGAACCCTACAGTGAAGAGCTTAGGAAAGAAAACACGGCCCATGCACAGGTGATGGATGATTCTCCTCGGGAGAATCAGCGGCTGTTGTCCAAAGGCAAAGAGAAAGGGAGGCGCTAATGGGCCTCTCCCGGCGGAAGCAGAAGCGTTTGACAGGCGCCCGGAACCGACTTCTGCACGCGGAAACTCAGGACCCTCGGAGACGCGGCTGCGGGTCGGTTTAACAGCTATGCGTTTAGGAGTTCAGAGGAAAGTATAAAAGGAAGTAAGTCGTTTGGCCAAAGTTTAAAGAACGCGTATAAGCCCTGCGAATACTTAGCTCCAATCCTACACACTGTAAATAAGGGGCAAGACAAAGAATGCTTTTTATTGTGTGCTAATGTACAAAACACCCCCACCTCGCGAGAAGCATCACGTCTGAAACGCTCGGCGCGGGCGAACGCAACCACGCATTGTCCACATTTCCCACACAGCCCATCGCGGGACGAGCGTTTGCATTTATTTTTAAATTCATAAGTCTTCTGGCCGCTCTGCCTCGGAGGGCCTCAGCGGGGAGAAGGCGATAAGGTTCCCGCCGAAGGAGATGAGTCGGGTCCCCCGCGGACGCCCCCACTCCGCTGAGGCGAAGGGGTCGCTGCCGGCCAGGCCTGGCTGGGAGGGGGAGGCACAGGGTCAGGAAAGCTGCCCCGCAGCGGACTCAACTCAGCGACATCAGCAACCCCCGCCCCCGCCCCC